ATCTAAGAGACATTCTAAAGTTTGAATCTTTAGAAAAAGGAGTAGAGCAATATGCCTACCACTGCTTCCTCATAAAGAAAAAGAAAGATGGCACAGACAAGCTAAGGGTGGTTGGTGACATGAGGCCATTAAACAAATACATAATCAAAGATGGATACCCATTACCCATTATTCGGGACATATTAGAGAAAGCTGTAGGTCACGATTGGTACTCTAGCGTAGATGCATACAAAGATTATTGGCAAATATGTATTCATGATGAAGACAAAGATAAAGTAGCAGTATCTACTCCATTAGGCACACTACGTTATACCGTCATGTGCATGGGACTTAAAAATGCTAGTGAAACTTTCCAGTATTTGATGGACGAATTAATTGGATCAGAAGAATGGAAACCCGTGGCTGCCACATATCAGGATGATATCGGACTTTGGACCCGGGGGACTATTGAGGAACATATCGATGCATTTATCAAACTTGCACAAACATTTAACAAGACTGGACTCACCTTTGCAGCAAAAAAGTGTCGCATCCTATACAAAGAACTTAATATGTATGGATTCATTGTTGGAAAGCACAGTATAAAACCTGATCCTAATCGAACAAAGAAAATTAACAATTGGAAAATACCCAAAAATGTTCAAGAAGTTCAGTTATTCCTTGGAACAGTAAACTATTATAGGCGATTTGTGAAAGGTTTTAGCACTATCGCTAAACCGCTAACTAACTTAACAAAAAACAATATCAGTTTTAATTGGGTTACGATAACGAAAACGCATTTAATACACTCAAAGAAAAAATAACACAAGAAGTAATGTTAAAGGGACCCAATTGGCAGGATGCCAAAAATGAAAGCTGACCTTATCAAATGAGCACAGATGCTTGTGACGTATCATTGGGTGTTGCTTTGGATCAAAGGGACGATCAAGAAAGGCTTCATCCTATAACTTTTGAATCACGAAAACTAAATTCTCACGAAATAAACTATACAGTGACTGAAAAGGAATGTCTAGGTATAGTTTTTGGTTGCAATACATGCAAAAGGTATGTGGCAGACACGACTTTCGATATATGGGTCGATCATCAGGCACTAGAATAGTTGTTTAATAAGGCCCAATTAAAGGGACATTTAATGCGATGGGTGCTTGCTCTACAAGCATTTGATTTTAAAGTACACTATAGACCTGGATTAAAGCATGGAAATGCTGATGGTCTATCAAGATATCCTGATCTGATAACATCTACAAATCAACCTTCAGATGAAAAGTTTGTAGACTCAAAGCTCTTACAAATAGGGATATATAACAATTGATTCAAAAGTGATTTAAAAATAATAAAGCATTACCTGGAAACCTTACAATAGCCATGCGACGTAATGAAAGAAGATCTGCCTCATTTGCAAAATAAGGTTAAAAAACACTATATAATAGGAGGCGAATTATTCAGAAGAGCAACAGGTGGTCTACCTCCCCTACGTGTGATATTGAATAACCATGAAAAAGCTAAAATATTAAAGACAAATCATGAAAAATTGGCCGGCGAAGGAGGACACTGGGAAAAAAATAGAACGGTTAAAAAAATATTATTGAATTATGTATGGGGTTCTGGAAGCATATACAAAGATGTAAATGACTACGTAACTTCCTGCCAAATATGTCAAATGTGTATTGGCAAACAATTGAAAGAACCAATCCACGTGATGGCCACAAGTTGGATCTTCTATAAGCTCTACATCGACTGTATCGGACCTTTGCCTAGAACTTTGGCTAGTCACGAACATATTGTCGTCACAGTTGAAGACTTTACTAGATACGTAGAGGTGCGAGCATTAAGAAATAAAAATGCAAAAACAATCACTACATTTATTTGGAAAGAAGTAATCACACGGCATGGTTGTTTCGCCAAACTAACCTCAGATAGAGGAACAGAATTTAAGAACAATTTGATGGAAGAACTAACAGCATGATTGCAAGTAAAACAACAATTCACTGCTAGTTACCATCCAGAGGCTAACGGTCAGGCTAAGCGAACGGTGCAAAAATTGACTCGAATCATTAGAAAAGTTTGCACTCAAGCCCAAAACTGATAGCATAAACACTTACGTGCTGCAGTATGGGCATTGAATATTACTGTGGGAAAGTTGAGTTACTCACCTTTTAGGATGGTATATGGCCGTGACACTATAACTCCTGTTGAATTAACATTGGAGAGCTATCAAGTCTTTATGACAAAAGAAAATTAGACAACCGATGAATTGTTGAGTTTTAAGATGCAACAAATTAAAGATCTTGTTAACGAATTGCAAAAGGCAAGAATAAATCGAGATGAACTTCGGGACAAGTGGAAAAATTTTCATGATATGCATGCTAACCACCATAAGGAACGTATTGAAGTGGGTAATTTGGTATTAGTGTATGATTCAACACTTGATAACTCTCCCCGTAAGTTGGACTATAGATGGATAGGGCCGTACGTTGTGAGAAAAATTGGTGCAAAAGGGCATCTGTATTTAAACGAAGTGGATGGAAGTGAGTTAAAGGACCCATTTACGAGAAATAGAGTCAAAAAACTGAAGCAAAGGGTCCTATGGATAAAAATAAATTGTAATTATGTAAGTGATGACTTCGAGGATAAGAGTCATATAGGGTCTAGCTCCTGTCATATTGGTGAGCAAATGCCAGTATATTATGTTCGAGGAATGTTGGTCGAATATGATGAGCACATGGTGCCCGTGGCGACCAGGGTACTGAGTGTAAATTGATCAGATCAACAATTTCATGCATGCATAGTTTATTGTAATATATATGTCATATGAATGTAATTGTTTGTAGTCTATTATAGTATGTGCGTAATTGCGCATAACAAATGTAGTCATCCAATGTTGTTTGATTAAACCAATTTGTAGTCAGATTAAATAGTTCAATATAAATACGAATAAAGGAATTCGTAAGCGAACCCAATTCTCTTCCAACACGAAAATAATAAGTTTTGCTCTGATAAGAAAATATTCTTAGTAAATGCGGCATACATAGATTGTTGGGGTATATGTGCCTGGTGGGAAAACCAGCACCAAATGAGTGTTTAATCTTAGGGAACACCAACCTAAGACCCCGCAGCTAAGATTCTCTACGACAATAAGTTCAATTATTTGATTGAAGTAAATAGGGTAAACAAAAATAGGTAAGTATAAAAAGAATCCTTATGTTAATAGTAGAGCTAAGAATGTTGCTTTCGAAAAATTTATAGTATGAATAAAAAAATGGTCTGGTGCTAAAAAAAATGTCCAAGTGTTATTTATACATTAAAAAATTCTGCTGTTTTCTCTTTTTTTTTTTTTTTTTTTTTTTTTTTTTAATTGTTATTATTTGTCGGAGATGATGCTGAAATTTTGAGTATTTTATTATGAAATTTCAAAAAATTTTTGAGCCTTTTTGTTAGGGGTTTTTTTTAGAGTTAGGTTAGGGTTTAGGGTTAGTGTTGTTAGTAAAAATGTATATGTGAATTTTAGTAGGTATTATAGATTTAAATGGGGACTCTATATTTTAGCATCAGCCAATTTTAGCATTATCCCCAACATTATTTCTTTGTAGGTGCCAGGACACGGTTACCTGAGCTATATTGGGTCCAGATTTTTCTTTTCTTTCTATGTTTTTTTTTTTCAAATGCAAGAAAGAGTGTCTGCATTAGAGTGTTTTTGCCTGGGGCAGTGTTCAATTCTGTAATTATATAGTTGTAAACGGAGGATCCAGCAAGCATAGTGGCCTTTCAGTTTCAAAGTTTCTAACCACTTCAATGCTGAATAGTCAGTTACAACAGTAAATGGCCTATAGCCAAGATAGTGGTGAAAATGTTCGATTGCCTGATAATGGCAAGACACTCTTGTTCCATCATAGAATAGTTACGTTCTGGACTTGTAAGACTTTTTGATGCATAAGCAATAACATATTCTTTATGATCATCACCGACTTGGGCCAAAATGGCATCTAAGCCTACTCCCGAGGTATCAGTATGCAGAAAAAATCGTCATTCGAAATCCAGATATCATAGGATTGGGGCTAAAATTAAGTGTCATTTGAGAGTGTTGAATGATTGTTGCTGATTGTTAGTTCAGTTGTATTGTTCGTCTTTTTGAAGTAATTGATGCAGGGGTTTTGCAATTGTTGCAAATTTTTAATAAATTTGTAGTAATATGATGATAAACCTAAAAAACCGCGTAATTGTCATATATTGTGGGCACCAGAAAATTTTGCACTTTGTCCACTTTAGCCTTGTCTGGTTGAATTCCATCTTTGCCAACTATGTGGCCTAAAAAATATAGATTTTGTAAAAAAAATTGGCACTTTTCTAAGTTTAACTTAAGACCTGCATTGCTTATTTGTTGAAATACCGAATTCAAATGGTTAATATGTTCTGAAAAGGTATGAGAGTAAATATTGATATTGTCGAGATAACTGCAACAAATTTACCAACAAAAGGACCAAGAATTCTATTTATCAGTCTCTAAAACATCACCGGGGCATTACAGAGACTAAAAGGCATGACCATAAATTCGAAGATTCTATATTTCATAACAAACGCTATTTTTTCACAGTCTTTTTTGTTTATTTAGACCTGCCAGTAGCCACTGGCAAGGTCCAAGCTACTAAACCATTGAGCACCACCAAAACTTTTAAAAGATCATCGATGTGTGGGATGGGGTATGCATCTTTTTTTGTAACTTTGTTCAAACGCCTATAATCAATGCATATTCTCAAGTTTCTAATTTTTTTTAGCACCAACACTATAGATGATGTCCATAAACTGAACAATTCCTTAATTAAGCCTTTTTCTTTTAGCTTCTCCAATTCTTTACATACAAAGTCTTGTTCATTTGGGGCCACTCGATATAGTGGTTGCTTGATGGGTTCAGCATCTTGGGTCTTGATCACGTGTTTTACGAGGTTTGTTCGTTCAAGCTCTTCTAGTCCATTTAAAATAAGTTCTTATTGTTTTTAAATAACTCTTTTATGCTCTCTTTATATTTTTCTTCAATATTTGTATCAACAATGATCTTATTTAATTGTTCTTCTATTGTTGGTTTTTCATCAGGAAATACTTTCTTATCGGTTGGAATTTCTTCTATCACCGCCAAACATACAGCCGGGCTTTCAATTTTAACTATTTTTGTATCCTTCTTTTTTTTTTTTTACAATACTTTCTTCATCAGATGATATACAATCAAACGAAAAACTTTCAAGTTCTTCAAGCTATTCACTTTCATACTCAAGTTTATCAAACAATTCATCAGCATCGTCTTTATCGTGGTCACCTGATTCATCAATTTTTGGTATTTGTGCTTTTTGCTTGCCTTTATGAGGAAGCAGTGGTAGGCATATTGCTCTACTCCTTTTTCTAAAGATTCAAACTTTAGAATGTCTCTTAGAT